CTGGATTTAAAGTGCCATTGGCCACCACAGCATGTAGATCGTTAGGCAGCTTTTCGAAAGCCAACATTTAGTTTTCCACTTTATAAAAATAATCATTCGAAATCACACAAAATATTATATGAGTCATCGCTCGTGTACTCAATAATATACTTTGCTTTTATACGCATAAATAGCTATACGATATTATATTATTTTCTTATTGCTAATAGTTGTATTATTTACTCAGCCGTATAAACGATAGTACAAAAATTATGTCTTTAATCGTGGCTACTAGCCTTGTATTTAAGCATAGTATTTTGTTTTTTAAAAGGTATAACCATTTTTCGATGACATAAACAACAAAACTATGTGGGAAACATTCAAAAATTATTTTTCTTACATTTTATTATGTCGGCCTTGAAAAAAAAACATTATCATAAATTCATAACCCAATAATATATAAATATTTTCCTCGGTGTAGAATTATCTGTCCAACTATGATTCACTCCGATGCCTATTGTTTTTGTTGAATATAAAGTAAAAGTTCTAAGTTATTATGTTAGTATAAAAATATAATTTTCCTAATAAATTTAAAATTACATACTTAAGTACATATTATAATGTATTTTGGTTTGCCGAATTTGCCACTGAAGGAAGTAGAAATAAAATATTTTCGAAATTTAACACCGAAACTTAACCGATAGAATATATTTGATTAATTATAATTTTGCATTATATATTATATTTTACTTGACTCTAACTCTAACCCATCCCTGTTTGATATATTCCATAATATTTAATGATGTTATTATGCAAAGTATTTTTAAATTATTTACATTTTTAATTTAAAATGCATCCATAAAGAACTTTTTAAAATAAAATTGGTTTTAAACTTCATTTGTTAATTTTGACCATTTTGTTCTGTAAGTGGGTTTTATTTGTATTACCTACCTCGTTGTACAGCACTCGTTTAAAATGACTGATTTGAAAAGCAACAGTATCTGAGTTTTGTCAAAACGTCGTGTGAATGATACCTAAATAGGTATCTACTATTCATTTGTTTTATAAAATATAATTTAATATGTATCGTTTCCAGTTTTTTATTAGTAAAATCAAAGATAAAAAGTCATAATATAACATAAATAATTAAGCAGTGTAAATACCAACATAAACATGAACTCGGCAACGAAATAAATATATTATTGCTAAACAAATTGTTTTACTGTTTTCGTCACCCTAAATTATTAACGGAAGGAAAAGAGTCTATATATCAATATTTTTATCACATAATACATTAATTCCTATGTTTAAGAGTGGCATTAATACAAATAATTTATTAAATTTAGGGGGTTTATCTTTATTTTTTTTCCCTTAGATCTAGTATTATTTATGATTTTGTTTATTTATAAGATTTGTTTATATTTATATAAAAATACAAGAAAGTATGCACTATGCACTATAATTGATAGATTATTTACATTTAACAGTTTATACATGTCAATAGTTGTAATGAGATATGGCTTTTTTAGTATGAATTTTATTAAAGAGTTAACGGTGACGTATATTAATAAAATATGAGTCTTTAAAGTTCCAAATACTAATACCATAAGAAATAATGGAGTGTACCAATGAAAAATATATAGGTAGACCTTAAAAGTTTTATATAAACAAATTGCCTAAGTATTTTAAATATACCAAAACATTTCCCACTATGGTTTTTTTAGATATGTGCAATATAAAATGTCCAGTTTAATTTATTATCATAAATCAACCTTTATAAGTATTTAATTTGTGGTAAATCTTTAATCACTGTACATTTACAGGCATCTCATTTTTGACATGTTTTATCATGAATAACTAACTTGTAATTCTTAATACTATTATCACTACTATTGTAAATTTTAAATTTGAAAAAGTTAGATTTGGTTAAATTTAAAGCCATATAGTTGTTATCAAATTATGATTTTTTTTACTTTAATGGTATTATTAGCTTAATTGAATAGTACTTCATAGCATTTTTCCTTTAATAAAATTAAGATGTCATCTGCATAACAAAATATTTTTCCATTTATATTTAGATATCAAAAATCATTGATATAAATTATAAATAATAAAGGCTCCAAAACTGTAATAATGTATATACAACTGTATATAATTGCATATATAATATATATATTGGTAAAACGCTTAAATTTCAAAATTATGTTGATGACTAGACTTACGTGTTACATGTGCTTATCTAAAAACGTTATAATAACGCGTTTGTGTGAGTGTGCGTATGTGTGTGCAGTCAAAGTGTAAGATCATAATATAATCGTGAATATATACATACTTACAATAAAAACGTTTACAGCAGGACCCTATACCCAAACACCCACATGCTTTTTTTGGTTATAAAATTGCAAATTGTACTAGGTGTTCTACGATTCAGTATCTATACTCCTTTGTGGTGTTTAAAAATCATAGTTTTCGTCCAAAACTGTCACCATGTAACGTAGTCAACAGTTGCGACAAAAACAAAGTAACTATAGGTACCTAATAATACAATCTTTTTTTCAGTATTAAAATAAGGCAAACGAAATAAACTTTAATTTATTCAAAACTTTAAGGCTTTTGAACTAAAATTGACGGTATAGAAACGAGGCCACTTAATAGTTGTGGGCACGATATACCAATAAATACTAGATACAAATTTTATTATCCACATTGTTTAAATTCATATTTGTCACATACATTTATTTATGATTTATTTGTTTTATTTAGTTGAAAAAACACCAAGTCAGTCATAAGAATAATTAAAATAATAAATAGACCAGGACAAACACAGTGCACACCACTCTAGGTGATTTGAGAACGTCCTAGTTCTTAAAACGTCGCATTGAGTATATTATTTTTTTACGGAAATTTAAATATTATATAGTATTATGCTATATTAAATAAATGCCGGGAAAAAAATACAACGTCCACATCGAACGGACGAAAATGGTTTTAGTTTCGAATAGACGCATATTATATGTAATTCAACGACATTAACATTTGTCACTACCGAATAATCGGATCCGGGTCAGATGGAGGCATTGTCAGACCATAATCGCTGCACCAAAGGCTTATGCCATATCGGTCACTCACAACTCCGCAGAGTAAAGGAACTTTGTCATCTGCAAGCCAAGTCCGCCGTACCCATACAGTTTTCAACCGTTTCGCCGGAACATCATTTTTACGGATATACAATCTATAAAATCGAACAAAATCATAAAAAAGAAAATTTCGAGCCGTGATTAAGCGTCTTACATTAGCGGACATTTTGTGAAAAATTAAGATAAATATTATATTTATATCATGGTTCTTGTAGGTTTTTATTATGATATCAAAAAATCTAAGAAAAAATATGAATTCATTGCTATCTACATATATTTTAAGAAATACGATATAAAATTATACGAGGTAACATAACTATGATTTCCGTGTTTTTATTCGTATATACTATATACGTATTACACTTATCAGGCAATAACATAATGACAATTGATAATAATAAAAAAATTTAAGTGTATTTTAGCTTATATTTGGCGGTGAAAACGATTACCTATCAAATATTAGATTAACTAGTTGTTATCATATAATTTAATGGTTTTGGATAAAAAATGGAATACTTTTCTTTTATATAGAATCATAGAATACTAGCTGTAACGATCTACTAATTAAAAAAAAAAAATTAAACGACAAATATATTTCATTTCTTAAAGGTATTGTTTTAAATCTTTATTGAATAACATACATCTCCCTAATGTTTGGTTTTGATTTGTTGTAGGTATGTATTGGAAGACACGACATAATACTATGTATTCAAAATAACTATAACTTATTAATAATTTTAAAATATGTACAAATTATTTTTATAGACATTTCAAGTTTAAATTTGGACGAAATTAGATATGAAAGAATTATTATTTTGGTTATTTTGTTGTAGAGGTGCCTCTAAGGTTAATTATAACCAAATAACCTAATTCAATTATATTATCCTCAGAGATTTGAAACTCTTAACGGGGGTATATTAATTCATTTTTTAAAAACGACATTTTGAAAACATTTAGAATAAATTGTATGCAATTACTTTTTTATACTTCAAACCTATTTATTTACAGATCTATGATAAGAAAGTATTAACACAGAAGATGATTACAATAATATATGATACAATATATAATATACATATATCAGGGGTGGGAAAAACTTTTTTTGGTCACGATCTACTAAAAATATAGGTACTTCACCTTTGAGGATCGACTTTCATAGAAAATTTTTTTAATTATACGTGCTCGTAAAAATTCGAACGAGTGGTTTCCTAGTTATTGGACAATTTGTATACTAATACTGTATAAGTCCATAATAGGGATATCCGGATATGCTTATACAGTTCTACACATGGCAGTGGCGTGTTTAGTAGGAGGTTTGGGAGGTCAATTGACCCTCCGCTCATTTGAATTAGTAATCGACTGGCCTCTCAAAATTAAAAATCCCAAACCTAGTAGGTAATCTAATTCCTCCTGGATTAATGTCATAATATTATGCTTTACGACTCGTAAATAATATTATGTAGTGCATAATAATAGTATAAATATAAATTATAATATTATTTTAAGTAATATTGTGGACTGTGGTACAGTGGCACACCGTAATCGGTAATTCGTATTTCGTATAAGACGCTTTGTTATGAAATGATAACGTCTCTAATAATAAATAACCGAATACAATGTATTGGGAATTCCTATATTCACATTACATGTCGTGCATCAACACTCCTCGAGAGTGTCTACGTTTATAGATTTTCAGCAGTGAGCAGATACTAACAATATTCAATATTGTGTGATAATAAATAATAATAATAACTATGGGTGCTAATAAAATTTTCGTATTTACATTGAGCATATTATAAGCGTTGATTTTATAAAATCGTTGTATATTGTTGTTAATTTTGTTGTTTTGTCTGTGTTTTTTCGCAATTTTTTTAAATTTTAATTATGAAACCCATTCAATCTGACATGAAAAAAAAACGGCTATCTGGTGGAGCTCGAAGAATAATAAAAGAAAAAGAAAAGATGGTTAAAGGAAATACTAGTATTTTATCTTTTATAAATACACATACACCTTCTATATTACAAGGTAAGAATTAAGGTTTTAGTACCTACCAATAAATATTAATTATTTATTATTCACATTATAAAATATATAAATATTACTAATCACTTATCTTTTAAAAAAGGTATGTAGAGTAACTTATTTGTAAATCAATTGGAAAAAACGCAATTTATTATACACAGCAATCAGCATACATTTATTACTGAAGGGCGGATTTTAATGCATTAAAAATGTTTACTTTATTTTGCTTCAATTTTTATAAATTTAAACTATTAAAAACAAAATAAGTATAATACATTTCTGTTCTAAAATATTAAAATAATAATTTATAAAATAATTTTAACTTAAGTAGGAGTATTTATTAAAAATTAATAATTATACCTTAATTGCAAAAAATTATTATAGCCCTTATTGTAACCTTTTCTTATCATAAACAATTTTTGTTTCTATAAACTTAATTAATACAATTTTCTAAAATACTATAGCTACCTATTGTGAAAAAAAACATGGTTCAATGTTAAATATCATGTAAATAATATGTAGTAGATAGGTGTAAATAGAAGTAAATATGCTTTGAAAGGAAAATAATTCAGAGTATGCAAATTGATGCCACATTTGACATACCTATAGAGTATAGGTACATATTTTTATCTTTATATTTTAAAAGTTAAAAAATTTATTTCATGCTACCCCCAGATACTTTATATTAAGTTTAAAGAAAAAAATTGCAAATGCATAATTATTTGCACTTAGTTACAACTTTATTAGTATATAAATTACAATTTTCAAAAAAATTACTGCATTCAAATTGTTTAATTAAAATAATAAAAATACAAATTAGAATAGTAAATTTTAATGTGTATTTAAATTTTTATTTACTTAAATAATTTTCTTTTAGTTCTGCCACAGCCAACAATCACAAATGTTGAAGATAGTTCATATGAAGAAAAAGATTATGTTCTTAATAATGGTCCAATTTTAAATAAATATACAAATAATGATTTTGAAGGTAAATTAAATTGTTTTATTAAAATAACTATAAAAAATATATATATAAAAAAAATTTCTTTATCAGGTACTTCAGTACAACCAGATACCAATAAAAAATCACTGGACATAGTCTTTTCATTTTTGATTGATAAATGCCAAGATTTCCCTTCAGATCCATATTTATTCAAAAATATTACGTTGTCGAAGGCATTAATTAGAGCTCTTATTGAAGTAGGTCCTTGTCAGCCAGGAATTGAAAAAAAATTCAAATTTCCAAAAAATGAAAAAGGTAACTAAAAAGGTAACTTTAATCCAGACTGGTATGATATTAAATCAAGATCCGGCTTCCATTTCAAAAGAAATTGGCTAGTATTTTCTCCTAAAAGTAACAAAATGTACTGCTTTTCTTGTTTTTTATTTCGCACATTATCAAAACATAATTCTAATTGGTCTGACCCTGCCGAAGGAGTGAATAATTTTCGTAAAGGACTAGAAAAAATTATCAAACATGAGACATCTAGTGATCATACAAATACTGTAAAAGAATATTTAGTTTTAAAAGCACGATTACAAAATGATAATACAATTATACATAATTTAATGCGAGCAGAAAAGTCTGAAAAAGAACATAATCGTAATGTTTTAAAACGTCTAATTGATGTATCTCTATTTCTTGCAAAAAATGGTCTCCCATTTAGAGGACATAAAGAAAAATTGAATGATGGAAAATCAAATAATGGACTGTTTTTAGAACTTGTTAAGCTTATAGCAAAGTATGATGCAGTATTATGTAAACATCTATTAGAGTCAAAAAGAAACCAAACTTACCTAAGTAATTTAATTCAAAATGATATAATTGAAGCTATGGCTCAAGAAACGTTACAGTTAATATTGAAAGAAGTAAAGATAGCAAAATATTTTTCTATCATAATTGATTCAACTATTGATATCAGTCGAGATGATCAATTTTCCTTAAGTATACGATTTGTGGATCAAGGTGGAATAATTAGAGAACATTTTTTGTGTTTTGAAGAGTTACCAGGGGCTTCTGCAGATAACTTTTTTGATGTTCTTAAAAAATGTTTAAAAAAATTTGATTTAGATTTTTCTATGTGTAGAGGTCAGTCGTATTATGGTGCTAGTACAATGTCTGGCCGTTATTCTGGTCTACAATCAAAAGTCAAAGAATTATCACCCCTTTCTTTGTACATTCATTGCTGTGCTCACAATCTAAATTTAGTTTTAATTGATTCTATCAAATCTTCCATCGATGCAGTTTCCTTCTTTGGTACTTTAGAATCATTGTATACTTTTTTAACTAGCAGTTTGCCTAGATTGCATATTTTGGAAGAAGAACAAAAAAAACAAGTAGAAGGTATTGTTTTGACATTGAAAAAACTTTCAGAGACAAGGTGGGCTAGTCATAAACGTGCTGTAGATGCAGTTTATTTTAGTTTACCTGCAATTGTTAAAACATTAAAGAAAATTAGCAAAGGAGAAATTCCTAATACAAAACAAAAAACTGTTTCTGAAGCTCAGGGTTTACTTTTACATATAATAAATTTTAAATTCAGTTTTTTTTTTAATTATGTGGAGAACAATTTTAGACAAAGTATACATATTATCAAATTATTTACAGAACTCTTCAATTAATCTATTAACAGCTCATAGCATGATTCAAGATTGTTTTACTGATATTGACTCTATGAGAACAATTGAAGTTTTCATGGAAGTTAAAGAAAAGGCAATAGTGTTTTGCAATGGATTTGACGGTAGAAAGCAGTTTGATGGACCTAGATGTAAAAAAATAAAAACCAATTTTGGTGAAAGTACAGAAGTTCAGTCAATAAGTTCAGTTGATGAGCGATTTAGGATCAATACTTATTTTGTCATTTTAGATGCATTTACCAATGTTTTAAAATATCGCTTTGAAGATTTTTCTAGTATTGTAAGAAAATTTGAAATCCTTGATCCAAAAAAATCTTTTGAAGGTAGACCCAGTAATGAAATTTTAGTTGAACCCCTTATAGAACTTTCTACATTTTATCAAGCAGATGTTGAACAAGAAAATCTTATTTTGGAGTACAAGTCATTTTGTTCTATTTATAACCACTTAATTGCAGAAATAAAAAATAAAAAAGTATTTGACAACAATATGTTAAAATTCATGATAGAAAATGATATGATTTCTTCATATCCAAATTTATCAACATTGTATAAAATATATTATACTCTGCCTATAAGTAGTGCAACTGCAGAAAGGTCATTTAGTAGGTTGAAGCTTATAAAAACATACCTCCGTTCTACAATTGCTGAGGATAGGTTGTCTAACTTGGCTGTTTTAAGCATAGAAAGAAATGTTGCTGAAGATATGGATTACAACAATGTTATTGAAACATTTGCCAAAATGAAGAAAAGAAGAAAAACTTTTTAGATGCTCTGAATTAAAATTTGTAAAAAACGTATTCTATAGAAGAAAATAAAGGTACCGATTTATTTGTTCAACTGTTATTTCTTTAAAAAAAAAGTGTTACCAGTAGTTAATGCTTTAATATATTATTAATGGTTTTAAAAATGTCATAATTTATTATGAAGGTCTTTAAATAATTACCATTTTAAGGTAGTTAGAATTATAGAAGACGTAGAATTATTTACATTTTAAAATTGATAACCTTTTGTATCATTTATTTATATTGTTTTTCACAAAAAAACATGTATGAGTAGGTATAACATATTTTTTATTTAAAGCACTAAGTCATGATTCGAGTTAAAGAGGTATGAGGACATTTTTGTTTAAATAAATTAACTTGCTTTTAAAAAATTTGCGTGACCTCTAAAAAAGGATGGCCTCTACAAAATGTCTCTGACCCACCGTTTAAAATTCCTAGACACGCCACTGTTGACACGTAAAACATAATAATACGGTTTGTTGAGAGTACCTAATATTTATTGCATATGATGTAATTCAATCGACGACCAATGCCTAAACCAATGGTTCGTTTATACACGGGTACACATCGAAATAATAAACGCATAGACAAATTTTACTCACCGGTCTCCGAAGTGTCTGATATAATAAAATAAAAACTGGATAGGGATGAAAATGAAATGAGAACTGAATTAAGAA